GGAACCATGAAAGACTCTGAATAGCCAAAACAGTCTTGAGCATAAAGAACAAAGCTGAGCTGTCATGTTACCTGATTTCAAAATATATTACAAAGCTGTAGTACTCAAAACAGCACAGCACTGGCATGAAAACAGACACATCAGCCAATGGGATGGATAGAGAACCTAGAAATAAATGCATGAATCTATACTCAATTGATTTCAACAAAGCCAAAAGCACACAATGAGGAAAGGACAGTCTGTCCAATCAATGGTATTTGAAAAACTTGATATACACATGGAAAAGAGTGAAATTGGACCCTTAACTTATAACATATAAAAATGGATTAAAGGTTTAAATGTAAGAACTGAAACTGTAAAACAACTAGGAGGAAACACAGAGGAAAAACTCCATGACATTGGTCTAGGCAATGATTTCTTGGATAGGACTCAAAAGGCACAGAAAACAAAAGCAAAAATAGACAAATAGGACTACTTCAAACTAAAAGCCTCTGCACAACGAACAAAACAATCAACAGAGTGAAGAGATAATCAACAAATCTGAACAAAAAATTAATAAACCATACATCTGTTGAGGGGTGAATATCCAGAAGAAGTAGGAAATTCAAACAACTCAATAGCAAGTATACAAATAACCCAACTTAAAAACTGGCAAATGAACTTAATAGGCATTTCTCAAAAAAAGACATGTAAATTCCCAACAGGTACATGAAAAAATGCTCAACATCACTAATTATCAGAGAAATACAAATTAGAACCACAATGAGATAATCATCTCACACCTGCTAGGATATCTTTTATCAAAAAGACAAGAGATAACAACCATAGGTGAGGATTAGAGCAAAGGGAATCCTTGTGCACTGTTGGTGGAAATGGAAGTGGTACAGTCATTACAGAAAACAGTATGGAGGTTTCACAAAAAATTAAAAATAGAACTACCATATGATCCAGCAATCCCTCTTATGGATATATATATCCAAAAGAATGGAAATGTGTATGTTGAAGAGACACCTGCAGCCCCATGTTCACAGCAGCACCATTCACAACAGCCAAAATATGGAAACAACTTAAGTGTCCATCAACAGATGTGTGGATAAAGAAAATGTGGTATACATTGTATATGTGTGTATATACACGCACACACAGGAATGCTATTAAGCCTTAGATAAAAGGAAATTCTGTCACTTGCAATACTATGGATGAACTTGAAGGGCAATGTGCTAAGTGTATTAAGGCAGGCACAGGAGGACAAATCCTGTGCAATCTCACTTACATGTGGAATCTAAAAGAGTCAAACTCATGAAGGAGGAGTAGATGTTGATTATCAGGGGCTGGAGTGGGGTAAATGGTGAGATATCAATCAAAGGGCAAACAGCTTCAGTTGGACAGGACGAATACACCTTAGGGTTTTATTGCACATTATAATGACTAAGTTAACAATAATGTACTGGGTATATCAAAATTGCTTCAGCATAGATTTTAAATGTTCTCACCACAAAAAAAGAGATAAGTATGTGGGGTGATTAATATGTTAATTAGATTGCTTTAAGCCTTCCACAATGTAAACATACATCAAAACATCACATTGTACCCCAGAGACATGTACAACTATTATTTGCCAATTTTAGAAAAGGACCCAGAAGGTGGTATTTATAAGTTCGAGGTCCTACACCAGCCCATGACAGAGTCAGACTGGACCCACAGCATGTTGAATTCTAACCTATTCATCCTGCTTATTTTTTAATCCATTGTCTGACATCTAAAAATTCCTCCCAGGCTATGGCTTACAGCTTTTCTTTTAAGATTTTAAACACTGTCTGATTTAGAATTGGCGATTTCTAAATGTGTTCCTTACACTCCCCAAACTGAGGTTCCCTTGGGAGGTAATAACAGGAGCTTTAGAATTCCATCTGTTTGGGTCAAAATGCTTAAGTATCATCTCTTTTCTCTTCTCTTTCAAAATGCAACCTTAGGGGATACAGGTAAGATGGAGCTAATAACATCATCTCATCCTTTAAACAGGACCTCAACACAGAAATATTTTAGAAGAAACACATCTTAACACATTCAGTGCTTGGGTCCTCATGCATT